TACAAAATCTAAAAGGAAATACAGAAGAAATCATACAATAGAGGTTATGTTAAATAGGAGTAACATACAAGGCTATCACTAAGGTGAAGGGAGCCAAAACAAACTTGTAGAACTTGCTTGTTACTCATTGGAACCAGCTCTACACTAAGGATAGGTGATATGTACACTTATGTTCAAGTAGGTGACATGTGTCACTCAGTGTGTCCTTCCCGTGAGTGCACTGGTGAACTACTCAGAACCTCTACACGTGTCTATGCCCTACACTAGCAGCGCTTACTACCGCTGCCTCCAAAGCTGTCAGTTTCAAATGACTTATGAATGAAAGGAAGTAAAAAGTGGGTAAGTAATAGATTAAGAAGGAATAAAGGGAATTAGAAGATCCATGCACTTTAGCTCTTTTAATCAGCCAGCCAGCTTAATCGTGACAAGGGATGGTTTCCGTTGTGGAAGGTCCTGTGGAGTGGGAATGTGGTCACCAGTTATCTCTGTCTTTTCTGGGGTCGCAGTAGGCAGTTGCTTGTTCTTCATCTTTGCCTTAGCCATGTTGTAATCCCCAGAATCAAAATATTTTTGCCCTTTCTGCAATCGTTTCCTTAAAAAATCGGAACCTCCAGGCTTCTGTCCCAGGTGAGGATACCTTGCTTTTAGCTTTGCTTCTTCGGCTTTCTCTGGACTGGTCACTTTATCTTCCATTTCCTTCTGCTCCTCCGGGACCTCGGCGGACAGCGCGCTCCCTCTGCGGGCCAGGCGCCAGAGGAGTAGCGAAGACAGAGGCCGTCCCCGCCCCCTCCCCGTGCCGGGCCGCCGCCTCGGAGGTGGCCGCTGTCTGTGACACCGCGCCCTGCGACCCCGCGACCCGCGCGGCGCCCGCACCTCGCAGACACCTCCTCCGCCCAGTGTTTAATAACAGGAAAAAGTTTAAATTTCAGCGCATTTGCAGGAACAGTATGAATCTAACTAGCAGAACCTGGAAGAATACAACGTTTCATTTTAGCTACTTCCTTTGTTCCTTTACTGTTGTCCCCCTTACCCTGCCTCTCACCAAAAATTTTTCTTCATAGTAAAGATTGCAAGTAACAGGTGTGTCAGAAATACCAGCCATCTCACCTACTTAGTAAATCAACTTCACCACTCGTTAAGAATAATAATAGATTAGCAAGGTTCATTTTTAAATAAAAAGTCTATTTAAATTCATTTGCCTTTAGATTTTACTAATACCCTTTGAAATAACTTTTGCTCAGCAAAGCTATATTGAGAATCACTGATAAAGTGCGTAATTTCTGGGTACTTTTCTAAATTTCTCCTTCCAAAAGGAATTTCTTTTAGAGGAACATTGTTACAATCTTTTATCCACCATTGCAAAATCCAAGAACTCTGAAAAGAGGTCTTTGCAATGATAAGCAGAACCTGATCAAATCTGAATTCACTTAAAGGCAAAACCTAACCTGAACTACCATAAGCTTACTTACACTTTTTTTTATTTACTCTTCAATATGGTACAAATATAAATGTACCTTGATGTAGAAATATTAATGATTTTTATTACTACACGGTGTTGCCATAGGTCCCGTAGCAGGTGGTATGCTGCCATTCTAAAATCTAAGGAAAGAATAACATGAATTCTTCAAACATATCTAGCCTCAAGAGTATCAGATTAGAAATTGTGGCTCAATAAACATTAATTTTTTGGGGCCAGGGAGATGGCTCAGTGGAATAAGCGCTTCCCTGGCAAGTGCAAGGGCCTGAGTTCAATCCCCCATTCCACCAAAAAAAAAAAAAAAAAAATCTGTATTAAACATTAATTTTTTAAAAAGTGAGCTAAGAACTCACTAATGAGTGCATGCTTCACCATGCTAACCGTAGGCCAGCTCTGACTTTACAGTCTTTTGAGCAATGATTGTGACTTTTGCCATCTCATTAGCCATTCAGCTAAAGAGAGGGGCATCGGATATCGCCTACAGCTACCTTGGTATCTCTGCCCTCTGTCGAGATGAGTGGCACTGAGCCCTGGGCACCCACTGAGTTGCTATAGCACATCATCAATTTATTCACTCATTCTTCCATCCATTCACCAACCATTTATTAAATGTTACTATCAACTACTACATTAGCACAAGAAATACAAACATGAATGAAAATAGTATGCACCCTCTAAAAGTTCCTATTTGTAATATCATAAAAACAGAATGCTAGAAGCATGAAATGATCTTCTTCATCAAGCAGTTATCATTTTTTTCTAACTCACATTTATCAAATTCTGCTCCATGCCAGTCACAAAGGACTGAGCACTGAATAGACCATGTGAGGGTCACAGTCTGTTGTGGGAGACTGATGCTCAAGACAAACTTAGCCTTTGGTAGCCATTCTGGCAAAGTGATAAGAAAGTGACAGCCTCTGGCTAAGCGGGCAGGCGTCTTCCCCAAAGGTAGTATTATCTGTGCAGAAGTGCATGATTTTATACAAAGACAACAAGAAAAAGTGTATCGTAATGAAAGGGTGCAGCATATGCAAAGGTATTAAGATGAGAAATAGTTTGGCACATAAACTATAGTCCATTCAGAACAGCTGGAGTCAAGGATGCACCTGGAAATGAGTTTTAAGAAGTAGAGAAGAGCCAGGGTGTAGACGGGCTATGTTCCAAGCCAAGGATTCAGTGCCTTCTCTGAGACAGTGAGGAACACCTGAAGGACTTTAGAGCAGCAGTAAGGCACTATTATATTTTTACATAAGCAGTATCTCTAGGACAGGGAATAGTTTGGAGAGGAACAAAGACAATAGTGAATTTTTGTGTCTAGCAAGAGACTCTTAGAATATGTAAACAATATTTCTGTTTTGCAGGGCTGGACCTAAGTGAAACAAAGAAGAAAACAAAGCAGGTTTTCAATTCTCCTTCGCACTCTTCCTTTGCTTCTCTCCCCACTGAGCTTCTTGGGTGGCACTGGGCTCCCCAAACTTGCCCCGCTGCACAGAGAAAACAAAGTCCTTATGTCTTTTATGTAGGAGGGTAATATATCAGAAAAAAATCACCTTCAATTATTTTTTTCAAAGAGAGACTAGGTTATTTACAAAACACAAACATCACTTCTCCCTTTTTCTTGAGGACCCATGTGATATTTCTTATGCTTCTGAACTCTACCCAAGAGACAAATTAGTAACTATAAATTATTCACAGGCAGCCCCAGGAGTCAAGATGATGCGCAGACATCTTCTGTGCATTCCCATTGAATTAATAAAATCTAAAAGAAGGCAATAAGTACAATTCAATTTCCTTTTTATAAATATGGAGTAAATGGAAATTTGTTAAATTCTCATTGTATACATTTAAGGTGGGCAACAAGCTGTTTTACTATACAGAGTGACTCTTGGTACATCTCCTGCTCTTAGAAGAATGAAATGTACATGTTCATTTTCATCCTTTGATAGGACAGTGTTTAGCAATGATTATTCATTTAGACTGAAATTTTTCTCCAGCTTATTACTGGTTACAAAAGACATGATTGGCTACTGGGATGTGATTGACAAGGTCTTTCCTGTCACTCAGTGTGGCTAACATCACATGTACATCTTAATGAGCAAAGTGATATACAGATACCATTTGATCTGAGAGGCTTGCTATGAAATGATCCCCTTCCTCTGTGTATCATTGAGCTCCACTGGAAAGAGCGAGATCTTGCCTGCTTTATCATTGCCATTCCACATTTAAATACCTTAGAATGAGTTCTACATGAAGCCTCATTCAGAAAGGTTAAGTGGCTTAAAGTAGCATAGCTCACATGGAAAAGATCAGAATCTAACCTCGATTTCTGATTTATCCACCCACACATTCACCTCAGAAGAAAGCCTGGTCAATAAAATGTTTCAGGACTCCAAGTTTTACAAAATCCTTCAAATGAGAAAGTATTTAAGAGCCTTGTTGAATGCTAAGCTTTATCAGACACGGTTGCTACGCTAAGGACTTAAATGGAACTACAACATGACAACAGCATGAATATTATTCTTCACTGGAGCTTAGTTGGAAATCACTCACTATCCTTAGGTGGTGATGGGTAACCTGGAAGCTTATTCAGTTTGCCAAGACTCAGTTTCCTTGTCTGAAAACAGTTGTAATCATACCACCTTTGTCAACTTTGGGGGATGATTTATGGGTTTAGATCAGCCAAATCACACTCCATGGAGTCAATCAAGACTACCATTTCTTCTTGTAAAGAAAGATTAAGACACCATCACACTCATTTGCTTAGGTATCATCTATGCCTTCCTTCACACAGAGTCCAGTAGCTGCCAAAGATCTTGAAGCTGGCAAAGCATACAATATTAACTATCTGATCTTTTACAGGAAACCCTTGGTTTAGATCAAGAATCCCAAACTCCCAGGGCAATTTTTTGCACCTGTCCATGTACTGTTTAAAACAAGGCTGCACAGCAGGATGTGAGCAGTGACCAAGCAAGCTAAACTCCTTCTGTGTTAATAACTGGTCCCTGTGGCTCACATTACCACCTGAGCTCTGTTGGATCTGTGGTGGCACTAGATTCTCACAGAAGCATTAACCCTCCTGTGAACTGCACACTCTTTATGAGAGTCTAATCCCGGTGATCTAAAGTAGAGCTGAGGCAGTGATGCTAACACTAGGGACCAGCTGCAAATACAGATTGACATTAACAGAGAAGTTTTGGGGGGGCCAGGGAGAGAGCTCAGTAGAATAAGTGCTTGCCTGGCAAGCTCAAGAACCTGAGTTCGATCCCTGGTTCCACACACACACACACAAAAAAAAAAAAAAAAACAGAGAAGTTTGACTGCACAGAGACCATAATAAATCAATGCTTGCAGACTGATTTAAAAATCCTATCCATAAGTGGCAAGATAGACCACCAGACAGTATTAGATTGTTTAGTTGAATTCAAACACCTATAGTATTTAGATGCCAATAGAATATTCACTTCCGACAGGACAAAAAAAAAAAGGATACAAAGGAAAGATCATTTTGTATTTATATATACAAAATAGTTAGGATAGGTTTACAGCTACTTTTGCTTAGTTCAATGAGAAGAAAGAGGTGTACTAACAGTGTTTGAACAGAATATCCTGTCTGCTTCTTGTGCTATGGATAACCACTAAGAAGATAACAATGTATAATGTATTGATTATCAAAACTGTCCTAGTAATCAGCTGTGAAACTGTCTCATTCATATTTATTTCTCAATAAAAAAGTGGCAAGTGACAATTAACGTGCATCTGGTGGCAAGCTTTTTGGTGGCAAACGAATTGATGTATCTCAACTGTGCAGCTACATATGGGGTCAGAATTTAAATTGTAATATGACACTCATTTTAGTCCATGTGTGCCCAACCCATTATTTTATCTCCCACTGCCATCCATGACACTTCCACTGCACACTTGCACACTTGTCTCAGTCACAGTTCTGGTAAGCCCACAAACTAAATCTAGCCAGAATGAGTGAAACACAAATATTAGTGTAGAGCTTCTTTGAGAGGAGAAAAGGACCAGAGATGAGAAAGCAAAAGTGCCAATAAAAGGAAAGTATCATTAAAAAAAAAAAAAAAAACACCAAAATTCCCTCGTACATGACAGGTTCATCTCAAAAGACAATTCGTATTTTCGAAGCCCATTTTGTAGAATATGTGGCAAGCAGCTTCCCAGTGAAATCACAAAACCAGTGAAACTGCTTTACTACGTAGAGACCAAGCACCTAGTGTAAAAA